ACTCGGGGGGCGGGCAGGGGGGGTGACCCATCCCACCCTTCTGAAACGTTTGGAAGGTCTCTGCCCCCCCAAAAAAGAAGGCCGAGGCGTTGGGGGAAGCCGTTCTGCGGGTCCCCAAACAGAATCCGGCAAAGAGAGAAACTATTTTTTCCCCAAAAAAGGTGTCCCTCGTTGGAGAGGCTGCAACAAGCTAGGCTGGAGGAAGTTTGTGGGGTGGTTGGAGGGTCTGGGGGGGCACTCTGAACTCCACCATGAAATTCTTTCCCCTCCCTTATTTCCCCCCCCCCCAAGAAAAATTGAGCCTTTTTCCAGGAGGCGTTCTGCTGGCGACCCGCAAAGGCCGGGCAAAATCTCCCCTCCAGACCTGCCGAACCTCCTTCTCTGCCCAGACGGCCTTTCCGGCCCTCCTCGCTGCTTTCTGCCCGACCCTTTCGTCCCCAGCCTCCACTGGAAGCTGTGGCAACTTTCTCCCCCCTCCTCAAAAAAAGTTGTGGTCCAAATCCATTCCCCCCTCAAAAAAACCACCTTCTCCCGCCGCCCATTTAGACTCCGGCAAACTTCCCATATGTCTACTTTACAAGTTGCAAAGATGGGAATGTTTCTGTGGCCAGAGCCGCTACGCGCCAGTGTGCCGGCACCCCAGAGGGGTGGCCACGGTCGGCACAGGCAGTTGGAAAGGAAGCAAAAGAAATCGACCTTTGGAAGTTTGAAAAGGCAGATGGAGTCTCTCTCTTTCTTTCTTTCTTTCTTTCTTTCTTTCTCTCTCTCTCTCCTTTTTCTTTCTCTTTCTTTCTCTCTCTCTCCCCTTTTTCTTTCTCTCCCCTCTTTCTCTTTCTCTCTCTTTTCTTTCTTTCTTTCTTTCTTTCTTTCTCTCTCTCTCTCCTTTTTCTTTCTCTTTCTTTCTCTCTCTCTCCCCTTTTTCTTTCTCTCCCCTCTTTCTCTCTCTTTTCTTTCTTCTTTCTCTCTCCTTTCTTTCTTTTGTTTCTTTCCTTCTTTCTCCCCCCTCCCCTTTCTCTCCCTCTTCTCCCTTTCCTTTCCTTTCCTTTCCTTTCCTTTCCCAATAGCCAAGCCACCGACATTTTTGCCTTCTTCTCTGACCTCTATTTATTTTTTAAAAAATAAAGCCAACCCCACCGAGCGGGGAGGGGGAGGCTTCGCTCCCCACCACCGAGCCGCCTCCTCCTCCTCCTCCGTGCCTGGCGGATCCCTCCCGCCGCCGCCGCCTCCCCTCGGGTCTGCCCGCCCGCCCGCCCGCCCAGGACCCCTGAGTGTGCGTGTGCCGGGGGGGGGGTGGTGTTTGGCGCGCTGTACCTACCCGTAGATGGCATCCTTGTCCCTCTTGAGCGCGTCGTTGACGGAGGAGCCCATGGCGGGGGGCATGGCGTTGGTGTGGGCCGCGTGCGGGTACTGGTGGGAGTGGAGCGGCGGCCCGTGGTTCAGGTGGTGCACCGGCTGCATGGAGCGGGCGGCGTGGGGGTCCCCGTACATGGTGCTCGGCAGCCCCACTCCGTCCATCCCGCCGTAGTGGGGCAGGTCGTCGTACTGCAGAACAGACCGGGGAGAGAGAGGGGGGGTAGATGGGGGTCAGAGGGAAGGCCTGAGCAGGGCGGCGGCGGCGGGGGAAAGTGGGGGAGCCGCTCGTGGCGAGCCGGGGCCCCGACGGGGCGGTCTGGGCGGCCCAGGAAGGGAGCGACCTCTGGGTGGAGGGGCCGTGGGGCGTGGGGGGTCCCACTAAACTCCCCCACCAGGCCTGCGCTCCTCCGGGCACCCGGGAAGGGCCCGACGGACGGGGGGGGGCTCCTTTGGGAGAGGGGTCCCGGGAAACCCAACGACCCCCCCACACACACACACAAACACACACGCCGGCGAGAACCCCGATCCCCCGGTCCTAACACGCGCCCCCAAGCCAGTGCGCGCTCTCTCTCTCTCTCCTTAAATTGTTTAAGCCGTTTCCCGCTGCAAGGCATCGCTCTCTCTCCCCTGCTGGGAGCCCCAAGCCCGGAGACCTCGCCCGGGCTGCGGTTCGGAGGCAAATCCCAATCTAGCAAGCGCCGCTCGGAAGAATCCCCCCTTCTGCTTCCCAGGCAGGGCTTTCTCCGCAGCCGTTCGCCGGGCCTCGAATCTACTTGCAATTTCTTGCTTTCGAACTGCTAGGTTGGCAGGAGCTGGAACTAGAGACGGGAGCTCACTCCGTCATGCGGCACACTCGGGTCTCGAACTGCTGAACTACCGACCTTCCACAGCCTGCAGTTCAGCGCCTTAACCACTTGAGCCACCGCAGCTCCTTAGTAATGCTTTTGCACACACCCAGAAGGCTAAATCCAGCGAGGGCCAAACAAAGGACCCGCTTTTATCTCTTGTCCTTGCCAGTGCTCAAATTGGCCCCTTTCGTGTTTTCACAAAAAGGGTCAGGAAAGTGTCATCAGACAGTTAGGACTTGTGTCCCCGGACCTTGACTCCTTGCAGGACTTTCATCGGGGAGCTAGAGATGAAATCGGCCGCACTTTCCCATGGTTCCTTTCCCTGTCCGTAGAGATGACTGGGTGCCAGTTCAGCATCTTAACCACTTGAGCCCCCGCAGCTCAAAAAAAAAAAAAAGTGTGAGCCAGAGGCTAAACCACTGCGAGCTAACTCACACTGACTCCGCTCAGAGGGAACGCTGCTTGGGAGCAGTCGAGGAGTCCCAGTCTTGGGGCGATTTTAAAAAAATTATTCTTTCCTGAAAGATTCCCCCCCCCCTTTTCTTTACCCAACTTCTTTTACTTTTTGGCCCAACGTTTGGGAAGCCCTGAGAAAAGTAGACTGTCGCTCTCTCTCACACACACCCCCACTCCCTTTTAGAACTAGGCGGCCGAAGAAGCCAGAATCCTTCTTGACCAATGGTCCCTCTGGGCTGTGGAGTCTGGTGAGCAAAAAAAAATATCTACTTTGCCGAGCGACTGGCATGAAAGTGGTGAGCCAGCGGCTGGGCTGCTGCATACATTTAGTTCCCTCTGGAGCCATCCTTCCTGAGTTAAGGCAGAGGATGTGTGAGCCGGAGGCTAAAAACCTGTGAGCTCGCTCACACTAACTCTGCTTAGAGGGAACTCTGGAAGGGAGGCCCATGTCCTTTTTAAAAATATTATTATTATTATTACTATTAAGGAGAATCTTAAAGGAAGAGAGAATTTGCAAGCCAGCCGCTGCACAACCCTGGGGGAAGAAAAGGAAACGCCAAACTACTTTTTGTTGCCGTCCTTACTGTTGTTTTGTCTCGCATGTGTTATTGTTGTTTTGTCTGGCTTGTGTGAAAAGAACACGGGTGGGAAACAGGTCAAGTCGGGGAAGGAGAGAAATCACATTTCTTTTTTAAAAAGGCCCTCCGCTGTGGATCCGGGTTGCCTTCCCAAAGTGATAAACTTTTTTGGGTGTGTTTTTAATTTTGAAAAAGTTCCATTCCATCCAAAAAGAAAGAAAGAAAAGAAACCGACATTTTGCGGTGTAATCCAAAGAAGGCTTTCCTGCAAGAAAGCCCCCACTGAACAGAACTTTAGTAAGATTCTGAGAAGACGTCTTTAGGATTTACCCCCTTAAGAGACCCGCTGGGTGTTTTTTTCCTCCCGGAAAATCCACATGAAATAAGAAAAAATATATTCCCAAAAGAAACCCCAACGGGTAGGCGACTGGGACTACCCACTTTCGCCCTAAAAGTATGACTTTATTCCTGGTCTTTTTTTAAAAAAAATATTCTTGGAGTCTTTTTTTTTTTTAATCCTGATATCCTTCGTTGTTCTCAGCATCTCCCAAAGGGTGTTCTTAGCATACCCCAAGGGAGAGTTTTCTTGGGAATTCTACCTCCTTGGAAACTCCTGGGAAACACCCCTCAAATTGAAGTTCAGCCCTGCCTACCCGGAGAGAGAGATCTTTGGTGTGGAGAGAAGGAACTCAGACTTCTGGATCTCTCCCTTACCTGTCTTGGGCGCTGCACCTAGCCAGTTAAAGACACACATCTATGGAAACTCCTTCCAAAAAGAGCGGCTGCAGTCTTGAATTGCACCCCCCCGCCGCGTTTTTCTAAAAGAATACAGCCCCCCGGCCTCTAATAGCCGCCAGCTTGTTTCCCAAAGACACTAATGATAATAATAATAATAGTAGTGGTAGTATAATAATAATAATGGTGATAATTACGTACCCTTTGCGCCATCGGCCTCCCGCGCTCCCTCGTCGCCCTTGCTCAACTTCTGCTATATCCTTCTTAAGGCCAGGGTGGAAAGAGATTTAAAATATATATATAAAAAAATAACCCCAGCGGTTCCCCCCTCCCACCCCCCAAAAAAGGAAAAAAGGGGGGCAAAGAATCCTTTGGGAAGCGCCAAGAGCGCCGGTCCAAGCAGAGTCTTCGGCGGCTGGATGAGCCGGGGGGGGATCCTTCGGGGCGGCCAAAAGCAAAAGAAGGGGGGAAAGGAGGAGGAGGAGAAGAAGAAGAAGAAGAAACGGCTCTCCTCTTCCCGGCGCTCGGCTTTTTCCTTCCGTCGTCTCCTGGCTCTCCTCTGCGCCTTTACGCGCTCTCCTCTCCCGGTTTCCAAGACAGCGGCAAAGGGGGAAGCAAAGGCCGGTTCCTTTTTTTTGTGTTGCCCCCCCCTCTAAAAACAGTTTGTGTCCCGAGTGTCGCCGGTGTGGGGGTGGTGGTGGTGGGGGGAGGCTGCGGGGTGGGTTGGGGGGAGAGAGTCGCCTCTCCAGCCCCGGCTACCCAACTCGCATGACTTCCCCCCCCCTTCTTCTTCTCTTCCCCCCGTTTCCTTCTTGCCACTCCTGCGCCGTCAGTCAAAGGCGAGCTTGTCAAAGGTGGTGCGGGATGGAGATCTATTTGGGGAGTGGGGGGGGGTCGGGATCCGCCGAGCGCGCTCAGGACCCCCCCGAGGCCAACATCTCCCCTCCAAATATATATGTATATTAAAATTATTATTTTTTTAAAAAAACCAACAAAAAAAGAGAAAGAGAGCGAGAGATCTGAAATGTTTCTCTCCGCCTCCCTTCCGGCAGTCCTCAGGATCCGAGTCAGTCTCTGCCTCTCCTCGCCTTCGCGAGCCCGGAGGAAGAAGAAGAAGGAGGAGGAGGAGGAGGAGAAGAAGGAGACGCAGCAGCAGCAGAAGACGCGCTCGCGAGGAAACCTCTCCCTCGCCTCCCTCTCAATCTGGACGCCAAAGCGCGCTTGCAGCAGGAGGAGGAGGACGCCGCCGCCGCCGGAGCCGCGCAGCTGTCGCTCGGGCGGGGGGCTCCTTCTCCTTCTCCTTCTCCTTCTCCTTCTCCTTCTCCTTCTCCTTCTCCTTCTCCTTCTCCTTCTCCTTCTCCTTCTCCTTCTCCTTCTCCTTCTCCTTCTCCTTCTCCTTCTCCTTCTCCTTCTCCTTCTCCTTCTCCTTCTCCTTCTCCTTCTCCTTCTCCTTCTCCTTCTCCTTCTCCTTCTCCTTCTCCTTCTCCTTCTCCTTCTCCTTCTCCTTCTCCTTCTCCTTCTCCTTCTCCTTCTCCTTCTCCTTCTCCTTCTCCTTCTCCTTCTCCTTCTCCTTCTCCTTCTCCTTCTCCTTCTCCTTCTCCTTCTCCTTCTCCTTCTCCTTCTCCTTCTCCTTCTCCTTCTCCTTCTCCTTCTCCTTCTCCTTCTCCTTCTCCTTCTCCTTCTCCTTCTCCTTCTCCTTCTCCTTCTCCTTCTCCTTCTCCTTCTCCTTCTCCTTCTCCTTCTCCTTCTCCTTCTCCTTCTCCTTCTCCTTCTCCTTCTCCTTCTCCTTCTCCTTCTCCTTCTCCTTCTCCTTCTCCTTCTCCTTCTCCTTCTCCTTCTCCTTCTCCTTCTCCTTCTCCTTCTCCTTCTCCTTCTCCTTCTCCTTCTCCTTCTCCTTCTCCTTCTCCTTCTCCTTCTCCTTCTCCTTCTCCTTCTCCTTCTCCTTCTCCTTCTCCTTCTCCTTCTCCTTCTCCTTCTCCTTCTCCTTCTCCTTCTCCTTCTCCTTCTCCTTCTCCTTCTCCTTCTCCTTCTCCTTCTCCTTCTCCTTCTCCTTCTCCTTCTCCTTCTCCTTCTCCTTCTCCTTCTCCTTCTCCTTCTCCTTCTCCTTCTCCTTCTCCTTCTCCTTCTCCTTCTCCTTCTCCTTCTCCTTCTCCTTCTCCTTCTCCTTCTCCTTCTCCTTCTCCTTCTCCTTCTCCTTCTCCTTCTCCTTCTCCTTCTCCTTCTCCTTCTCCTTCTCCTTCTCCTTCTCCTTCTCCTTCTCCTTCTCCTTCTCCTTCTCCTTCTCCTTCTCCTTCTCCTTCTCCTTCTCCTTCTCCTTCTCCTTCTCCTTCTCCTTCTCCTTCTCCTTCTCCTTCTCCTTCTCCTTCTCCTTCTCCTTCTCCTTCTCCTTCTCCTTCTCCTTCTCCTTCTCCTTCTCCTTCTCCTTCTCCTTCTCCTTCTCCTTCTCCTTCTCCTTCTCCTTCTCCTTCTCCTTCTCCTTCTCCTTCTCCTTCTCCTTCTCCTTCTCCTTCTCCTTCTCCTTCTCCTTCTCCTTCTCCTTCTCCTTCTCCTTCTCCTTCTCCTTCTCCTTCTCCTTCTCCTTCTCCTTCTCCTTCTCCTTCTCCTTCTCCTTCTCCTTCTCCTTCTCCTTCTCCTTCTCCTTCTCCTTCTCCTTCTCCTTCTCCTTCTCCTTCTCCTTCTCCTTCTCCTTCTCCTTCTCCTTCTCCTTCTCCTTCTCCTTCTCCTTCTCCTTCTCCTTCTCCTTCTCCTTCTCCTTCTCCTTCTCCTTCTCCTTCTCCTTCTCCTTCTCCTTCTCCTTCTCCTTCTCCTTCTCCTTCTCCTTCTCCTTCTCCTTCTCCTTCTCCTTCTCCTTCTCCTTCTCCTTCTCCTTCTCCTTCTCCTTCTCCTTCTCCTTCTCCTTCTCCTTCTCCTTCTCCTTCTCCTTCTCCTTCTCCTTCTCCTTCTCCTTCTCCTTCTCCTTCTCCTTCTCCTTCTCCTTCTCCTTCTCCTTCTCCTTCTCCTTCTCCTTCTCCTTCTCCTTCTCCTTCTCCTTCTCCTTCTCCTTCTCCTTCTCCTTCTCCTTCTCCTTCTCCTTCTCCTTCTCCTTCTCCTTCTCCTTCTCCTTCTCCTTCTCCTTCTCCTTCTCCTTCTCCTTCTCCTTCTCCTTCTCCTTCTCCTTCTCCTTCTCCTTCTCCTTCTCCTTCTCCTTCTCCTTCTCCTTCTCCTTCTCCTTCTCCTTCTCCTTCTCCTTCTCCTTCTCCTTCTCCTTCTCCTTCTCCTTCTCCTTCTCCTTCTCCTTCTCCTTCTCCTTCTCCTTCTCCTTCTCCTTCTCCTTCTCCTTCTCCTTCTCCTTCTCCTTCTCCTTCTCCTTCTCCTTCTCCTTCTCCTTCTCCTTCTCCTTCTCCTTCTCCTTCTCCTTCTCCTTCTCCTTCTCCTTCTCCTTCTCCTTCTCCTTCTCCTTCTCCTTCTCCTTCTCCTTCTCCTTCTCCTTCTCCTTCTCCTTCTCCTTCTCCTTCTCCTTCTCCTTCTCCTTCTCCTTCTCCTTCTCCTTCTCCTTCTCCTTCTCCTTCTCCTTCTCCTTCTCCTTCTCCTTCTCCTTCTCCTTCTCCTTCTCCTTCTCCTTCTCCTTCTCCTTCTCCTTCTCCTTCTCCTTCTCCTTCTCCTTCTCCTTCTCCTTCTCCTTCTCCTTCTCCTTCTCCTTCTCCTTCTTCTTCTCCTCCTCCTTCTCCTTCTCCTTCTCCTCCTTCTCCTTCTCCTTCTCCTCTTTCTTCTTCTTCTCCTTCTCCTTCTCCTTCTTCTTCTTCTTCTTCTTCTTCTTCTTCTTCTTCTTCCCTCTTTGCACCAGCGTAATGTGGGAAGCCCCGCTGGGTCGCAGAGGTCACGGCTGTCCCTTCGCCCTGTCTCCTAGTTGCATGGGAGACTTTTCTCCTATTGCACGGGGAAAGACGGATCGTGCCCCTACACTGGCCGGTGGGCAGGCGATCCTCTTTTGCCTAGCCGGCGCGAGCGTGTTCTAACACACACACACACACACACACACACGGCGTGAAACTCCCTTTCAGGATCGCGCGCCTTCCCCGCGCAGATGCGACCCTGAAGCCGTGTCGCGCGGGGCCGCTCCCGAGCCCGTCTACTCGGAACCAAAAAACGCACGGATTCGCACAGCAAATACCCTAAAAACGTACGCGAACCCGGTTAGAAACTTCCTTCCGACGGACTGCGATCCTATGCAATCCTTTCTTCGGAAATCAGCGCTGCCGACCGCGATCTTATGCGCGTTTACGGGGCCGGGGGAGGGGGGTTTCCTTTGAACGCAGGAGCGGCTGGCTTCCGAGGAGACCTGCCTAGGTTTATTAGACCGGGGCACAGAATACCAGATGGGTTGCCTTCCATAGGACCACCTCTGGGACAGCTGAGGATCCCCCCGGCTGCTTCTGGGAGGACGGGAAAGGAAGCTTGGATCGGGCGCAAATGCCAACCACCCGAGCTCGGCTCCTTCTGGATCAGCTTAGGGGGCGAAGCAGCGCTGGAGGGACGCGGGCAGGTCCAAGGCGGCCGCAGAGACGACCTTCCTTTCTCCCGGGGAGGGAAAAGGCTTTCTTCTCCGGCTGCTGCTTTCAGCGGCAGAATCGGGGCCAGTCGTGAGGCCGCCTCCCGGCCCGGCCTGCCTCCCCCCCTCTGGCACCGGCTCAAGGCTGCGGCTCGGGCGAATCTCTTGGAGAAAAGGACCGAGAAGAGCAACCACAATTATGCTTTTGTGAGAAATATTTTTATTGCCACGTTAGCGGTGGGACACCCCAGCCTGGCGACCCGCACGCCAACGGCTCAGGCCCCCTCGGGTAAGGGCACCGCGATCCTCTCTCCTCCGGAGCCGAGCCTCAAAGACCCAAAGCCGTCCGTCCCCACCCCATCCACCCCGGTCCGGGTTTTCCTTTGCGAGCGACGCGGGACCCTTTCGGAGCGAGGCTGCGTTCAGAGGGGCGGGAAGGCGCGCAAAGGGTTTCTCCCGGGCCTAGAGAAGACCCACTTGTAGGGGGGGCCGAGG